AACGGGCCCAGCGTCCCAACTAGGCTTACAATCTTGATTTCAGTGGGGCGAGGAAAGTCACGGAATATTTCGTTTTTTCCCCCTAAATCGTCGTTTGCTGGGTTGTCGATTAGATGATGGATTCGAAACTCGGGTTTTTCGTTTTGTTCTGCTGTTCAGTTTGCTGTAGTTTGGTGATGTTGTTTTCTGAGTCAGGTCCATGGTTGACAAGCAAGTTGGCACTCGGTGGATGTGTTATCTCAGCTTTTTTTTCTTCTGCTATTGGCTTCCTTTTGCAAATTCACTTCACTGACCTAACTCCAGCAACTTCTGACAGGATTGGTCATATGCTTTGCCTCGCTTTCTCACATGCCCAGGTACGCTCTCATAAAGGAGATGGTGGGGTCGCTGGGAGACAGGTATACCGCATTTCTGACACCATCTGAATACCGAGTGGCACTGAGAAGGCCTAGTCAAGCAGAGATCAAATATCTGGCAGCGAGATACACGGGTGTTGGGATGGAGGTGGGAAAAGATGTCTATGAAGCTTTTGTAAAAGCAAATAATGAGCTTTAAATTTGTGGGAGAGGAGACTTGCTTCAAGGGATAACCAATTTCTGGGGGAAGAAATGGAGAGGGCTGTGCCTGTGTGTGTGTGTGTGTGTGTGTGTGTGTGCTGTCTCTTATACACATCTAGATGTGTATAAGAGCCCCCCCCTCTCCTCTTCCAGACGGCCGTGCAGATTGAGGTTGGGAGCAGTCAAGCTTGGCCAGTGATGATATCCCCACTGGAGTGTGCGCTTGAGAAGCTTTCGCTGCTGTTTCACTCCTGGAGCGCCCGTATTCGGCACCAACCGGCAGGCTCCAGTTTACTGACCTGTGCAAACCACCCTGACTGATGAGCAGGTCCCAGATGGTAATCGTTAGTCACACACCGCAGATGGCAGTTGTTCGGTGCACATCCCAGATGGTAATCATTAGACCTTATATACATATAATTGACTACACTCTCCATCAAAATTTAATCCCTTTAATATGCTGCTGCAACCAGATCATGGATACTTGCTGCTCACCGTCAACCCCCTCTTGCCCTTATGAACCATTCTGAGGCCCAGCGCCTGAATTTCTGCTGTGACAAACACTGGATCCCCCTTTACATACAGACCTAAGATATGCCCTAATCTGGACCATGGCTCCCCAAAGAAAAAACAAAAAAACCAAAGGGATCATTTCGAGCTTAGTCCCTAACCTTGCTCTATTGGAATGGGCTTGCTGTTCATGCGTTTATAACTTTATATGTGTACCAGTCAGCCACCACGCAGGTACAACTAGGCTTACAATCTTTTTTTTTTTTTTTTTTTTTTTTTTTTNAGAGAGAGAGAGAGAGAGAGAGAGAGAGAGAGAGAGAGAGAGAGAGAGAGAGAGAGAGAGAGAGAGAGAGAGAGAGAGAGAGAGAGAGAGCTGTATTAAGTTTGAAGTTTGAACATGATGAATGATTAGATTTCTTGGAGCTCTTCTCATCTCTAGTTTCTGAGGAATGCACACTACTTGAACTGCTTCCAGACTTCAGCTATTGGGAAAAGAAGAAATGAGGAAAGAAGTGTGGAAGTGGGTGTGAGGAAATGTACGCGAAGTGGTTGAATGACCCAAAGTTTTCTGAAATCGACTATACCTTGCATACACATCAGTAGAAGTAGGATGTTTTCCGTTCCTTAATTTTTGATTGATTTGTTGTGGACTTGTCGTTATATTACATAATTTATATTGTATTAAGATTATAATTTATATTGTATTACGATTATGATGATGACAATCACTACTAATATTTTAGAGAAAAACTCAAGTTGTGGGTGACACTGTACAGAACGGTACCGTTACCTTTCGTTGAAGAGCACCCTAATCTCCCTACCCAAACCTGGAGTCAGTTGCTCCTCTTGAGTAGTCGGATTGAAATTTGGAACCTATGGAAGTTGCAAAATTCGGGCCACCGAACGTAAAGTCTTTTTGAAGCTTAGAGCCTTTTTCATCTTTAAAGATCCAGAAAATTGTTCGAATTGGAGTCACTGTGAAGTTCCCACAATCATTTGCGATAAAGTTAATGTTTGTTTCTCGAATTCATTGATTGACCATTATGAGAGTGAAGAATAGCAGTTAGCATATACAACATAGAGTGCTGTAATTCTATTATTGTCATTGGATGCTAAGCCTAAACTTTAAGGGTTGGTGGAAGTCCAAACTCGTCATCATACAGTCAAAGAGGTCAAGCCCCTTTAGGGGGAACTCTTGCAAGTACTTGTGTAGGTAGACATTGAAATTTGAAAGCCGCAGTTGTGGTGGACTACATCACTAAGTTTTTAGAACAACATTTGCAAGGAACAAGTGCCACCTACCCTACCCAGGAAGCGTCCTCTGATAAACCTTATTAGCTGCGCGGGCTTGACCAGGCCCTTACCCTGTCTCTAACATGACACAAGAGTGACCCTTTGTGGGAGTTGCTGGGCATGAGCATGCATGCTTTTTCATTTCAATAACATCGGATGCGTCCTTGGTTGGTCTGTGAATTGCTTTGCTGAAAAGTGGGGTTCCCTGTTAACCCCTTGACGTGTGGATGCGTGCCTCGGTGAACTGGTAAGCTGGTTATGGGTCCTGGAGTCTCGTTTCCTAGTTTTTTTCATGGTGACTTGTTCAGAGATGATCGGGAATTTCTCCACACACTGTTCGGCTGGAACTGTCTACTTTTCTGTTGGATGCTGTGCAGTTGGGAAAGCGGTCACCATTTGGAGGAATCACAGTCATTGCACCTTTCGCAGGCTCTCCGGCAGAAGAGGTCAGTCTGTTTGATTGTTTGTATTTGGGTGTGTGTATATGTGTGGGTGTGGGTGTATGTGTCCCGTTACTTTGCTCCTGCTGAAGAGGATGGAAGTACTGGGAAAGTGGAATGCCTTACCGCAGTATTCCCCTCATTTGAACCTTGTAGTGTGTGCCTATGGCATCACTTGACTGGCCCCAATTGCTTCCATTGCTTCCCGGGCCTGGATGCTCAATGTTTGTTTGATTGCTTCCTGTGCTTTCCAGCTCAGCCGAATTGGATGGTCAATATTCATTTTCAATTGATAACGAGACAAATGTACTCGGCAGTGTTTTACAGCAAATATTCCTGGTTTGTTTTCCACATTTTAAAGATACGACACAAATGTGTGTGTGGGTATGCGTGCACTCATGCATGTGTGGTGTGTAGGGAGGGCTCCTAGGGCCTGTTTGGGTGCCCGCACAGCGCATGTGTGTGTGTGTGTGTGTGTGTGTGTGTGTGTGTGTGTGTGTGTGTGTGTGTGTGTGTGTGTGTGTTGTGAAAGCACCCAGAATTCTCTCTCTCTCATTTCCTCCACACATCATAACAAACCATCCATACCGAAAAAGTATAGATATTAGATAGACAATATAATAGAAAATGCAAGGTTGGCCACGATTGTGTGGTTCAGCGCCAACTGCCCACACGCCTGTCTGCCGCCGAAGCGGCACACTTGCACATATACGTGTATACATATATTTATTTGATCCATAAAAGGGCGGAGGGCAAAACACAACTTACCTATTAGTAAGACAAAGGACTCCACCAGAAAGAAAGCACCGAACCCATCCGCCATTGGTCTGAAATGACTTGGAGAGCCCTCCACGTCGGCCCACAAAACCACAAAACAGCATAACATAAACGGCTCCACTAACAAAACAGAACCGACCACACGTGCCAATGGTCTAAAAACATTTTTTAAGAGCCTTCCGTGATGACCAACAACGCCACCAAAAATAAAAAATACACCGCAGGAAATACACCGCAGGACCTGTACGCAACACCAAGAGTGCCATGAACCTCCCCCTGCCACGCAACCTGCACGCAACACCAAGAGTGCCATGAACCTCCCCCTGCCACACAACCTGCATAATAGGATGATGTCCTAGTGCTACAGCGAGGCCATTGCGAGAACAATACCAAATTCTCTGGAATAACACCCACAACAAACACTCTCTGAGCCTCCTCGCAGAGATATCGTGGCCAAAACCCCAAACTCCCATCCCCAAAAAACTCGTGGTATGTTTCTTTCTTTTTTTCTTTTTCTTTTCCTTTTTCTTTTTTCCTTTCTGTTTGAGAATGCTCAGGTCTTTGTGGGCAAGCCCTCTGCAAGAGAGCAGTAGGATCTAGTGCTGTCCGTCTGCATTAGCACCAGCAATAAAGCACCTACAAAGTCCTTTTCCTTTTCTTTTCTTTTTTGCGTGTGTCATGCGAGAAAAATTGCTGCGCGACGTGTGCGTCCTTTCCGTTAAAATTGGAATGGTACAGAGAAGATTAGCGTGGCACCTGCACAGGGATGACATGCTTAAATTCAGAAATGGTGTTAATTGTCCAAATTTAAAAAAAAATGCAACCTTTCCTTCCTTTGGGACGCTGGGCCCGATTTCCAGCAGGTGACGCCCGCCACCAATAGACCCGGCCCTTGGTGTTTGTGGGGAGAAAAAAAGAACATAAATAAGTATAATGCTTCTTTTCAAATCATGCATGTGACACCTTCTGCGCGGCATGTATTGTTTGCTGATATCTTTACGTTGTTCTTTTTCAGGGTGGCATAGTTGGAGGGGAGCGCCTTCTCGCAATTGATGGTCTTCCCGTTGATACACTGACGTCCGATGAGGCGATTACGCTGCTTCGCGGTCCAACTGGGTCTACGGTATGCTTCTTTTCCTTCTGGTTATCTCTTTTTTCAAGTTTTTTGTCAGCAATCTCCCAATCCAATCAGTGGAGGGCATGAACGCAAGCCATCACTTCGTTACAAACCGTAGACGATGCGAAGAGAAGATGTCAAACGATAGACAATGAGAAGAGAAGATGTCAAACGATAGACAATGCGAAGAGAAGATGTCAAACGATAGACAATGTGAAGAGAAGATGTCAAACAATAGACAATTTGAAGAGAAGATGTAGTCAAGCGATAGGCAATGCAGAGAAGATCTGGTCAGAGTAGAAGAAGAAAGCATAGCAGGACAAGGACGCATAACAAAGAAGAAGATGAAGGAGAAGAAGAATAAGAACAATAATAGTAATAATAATAATAATAATAATAATAATAATAATAATAATAATAATAATAATAAGAAGAAGAAGAAGAATGAGAAGGAGACGGGCGGAAGGGAGACATTTGGAGCTGAGGAGACATTTGGAGCTGAGGAGAAGACTAGACCACTCTGAAGCTCCTTACCGTATGCTGAGGGAGTGCGGATTCGGATTATCAAGATAAGCTGCTTAACTTCCTGAACCAGAGGAGTGTGTAGTGAGGGCTAGAAATTTGTGACTCTATAATGAGTCTATATCAAGGTGGCTTATGTCGCATACCGTAACGGTGCAGACCAGAACAAGAACCGACCTCTCTCACAAAGTACAAGATAACGCAGCGGAAGGCTTAAATACCAATGATCCGAACAATAAATGTCGCAGTGCAGTCCAAACATACATCCTCATCATTCCATGGTGTGAAGGGGCCTGGCGCTCACACAGGAAGAATGCGCCAGCCCCCAACCATACACAGACGAAGACGAGGGGGGGTTAGACGAAGAAGAGGGGAAGATGGGAATGTCGTCAACACCAAGTCTTCGGCACAGGCCCCAAATAATCCCTCATCAAATGTCTGAATCCCAATGTTGAGTCTGGATCCAATGTCGTCAAGCCCCAAAGTCACCAATCTCTCTCTCTCGTAGTCTGCAGGTACTGAGAAGTTAGGTAGCCAGAGGGGGAGGAGGAGATGGTGGACTTAGAAGAGGAAGAAGAAGAACTCTCTCTCTCTCTCTCAGTCCGGTACTAACCTGTGAAGGTGGCGCCTTGTTGCAGGTGCATCGAAGATGAAGCTGGAGCTCTGGCGGCACAGGTAAGTCTCCCTGGCCTCCGCCAACCATCTCTCTCTCTCCACTACTACTCTAGCTCGTAATAGCGCACAGCGCTGAAGACTACTGCTAACGCTACTACTACTACTGCAGCGCTCCTCCAGAGTGCTGCTGCCGAATGCTGAAGACTGCCTCCTGCCTCCTGCACGTGAAGTGCCTGGGAAGTTCCTAGGAACTACCTCGTGACTGTCTGCAGCCTGTAGGGCGGGCCAGTCTTATATAGTGCTGGCCCGTCCAGGAGGCTGCTCTTGCCAATGCCAAAACGTGCCAGACCCTGGCGTTGAAGTTCAAACAAGGGCTGTCTTGAAAACTGGCCAAAAATGGCCTGTGCTAAAACCCTGGTCTGGTGCCTAAGTTTCAGGGCAGGTCGATCTTATGAGGGCCCGAAAATGGCTCTCCGTTTCAGGCTGAAAAGACTCAGGGCTTGGATTTGGCTGAAACGACATAGGGCCTGAAGGCCCTTGTTTTCAGGCTTTCAGGCTGAAAACGACACAGGGCCTGTAGGCCCTTGTTTCTAGGCTTTCAGGCTGAAAACGACACAGGGCCTGTAGGGCCCTTACTTTCCCTGTTTGGTCGGGCCTTGCAGGCCCGTGTGGATGCACAGTATGCCACACTTAGGTGGGGATAGTAGAGTGTGGTGATGATCACTGCAGAATTTTTATAGCGTAGTACAAAAGTACAGAGGCTTAGACAAAGGAAATATGATCGCAGGTCGTGAACCAGAATTCTCTCAGAAGCTGCATGGGTCAGAACCTCGAGATAAAGAAAGATACTGTGGCTTATGGTGAATGAGGATCATGAGTGGCTACAGGGTGAAGAGGGAGACCCTACCAAGTGTCCCGGTGAATGAGCTACAGTTATGCGGAGATCAGGGTTGCATACCTGCCAACGGCCGACCCCGACCGCCGACTGTAGTGCAGCCGACCAGTGGGGCCGACCAGTCGGCGGTCTGCCGACCAGTCAGAAAACAACCATCCACTGATATTTTTTCAAGCCTGAGTTGGGGGCTGCACTGCGCTTGCTGAGTACAGCCCAAATCCRCTGAGAAACTTTTGGGGATGGAAGGGGGGTATGGGGGGGTTGGAGGGGTGGTATAGTGGGGGTATAGGGGGTATTGGGGGCCGCTATGGGGGTGGTGGTGGGGCTATTAGGGCTTCTGGACCCCCTAACTTTGAAGAATGCGTTCCCAGATAACAATGATGGTGGAGGCACTGCGAACAGTTGTCCTCCCTTTTGGTGGTAGTGCTCAAAAAAGTCCAAAAAACTGCAAATTGCGCTGCGCAGGATCCTTGCAGCGTAAACAAGGAAATGCCCACACTTTAATGTATGTCTCCATATGAAGAAGTATGGAAAAAGCTAAAAAAACTGGCAAAAAATATTAAATTAGTAATTACTGCCCTGTTATAACCCGGACCAATTGCGAAGTACAAATTCACCAATAAAGCACAATGCTGCCCAATTGCAAAAGAAATGAATGAACTTGAGAGGATTGAGAGGATAAGAAGAAGAAGAAGTAGTAGT